ATATCGAGATAGATACGAAAATATGAAAATTTTATGAATTTCTTGCACTTTCAAGTTATTAAAGGTAACACTTGAGATTCGGAGCATGCTATAAGAAATCTTTTATAACAAAAATTGTTGCAAATTTTATTGTTAACAATATTGCTCTTTTGCACTTTTGCTGTTAGATACGTCAATATCGAGATTGATACGAAAATATGAAAAATTTATAAATTTGTTGCTCTTCCAAGATATTAAAGGTAACCCTTGAGAATCGGAGCTTGCTATAAGAAAACTTTTATAACAAAAATTGTTGCAAATTTTATTGTGAACAATATTGCTCTCTTCTGCTTCTGAAATTACACTTTAAAATACAAAATATACATAATTAAACTGTAAAAAAACAAAAAACCACACAAGTTCCTACGCAAACGATGCATAAAATACCACTAAAATGGATGACCTTTAAAACTTGTATAAAAAACTCATGCCAAGATAGAAAGAGGTAAACTAAATGAAAAACCGGCGATTTAGAAAATAAAATCAAATATTTATTAGACATAAAATTTAAAAAATTTGTTTATTTTTCAATATATTAAAGGTAACGTTTGAGAATCGGAGTATGCTATCAGAAAATTTTTGTAACAAAAGTTGTAGCAAATTTTATTGTTAACAATATTGCTCTCTTGCACTTTTGCTCTTAGATACGTCAATATCGAGATAGATACGAAAATATGAAAATTTTATGAATTTGTTGCTCTTTCAAGTTATTAAAGGTAACACTTGGGAATCGGAGCATGCTATAAGAAATCTTTTATAACAAAAATTGTTGCAAATACGAAAATATGAAAATTTTATGAATTTGTTGCTCTTTCAAGTTATTAAAGGTAACACTTGGGAATCGGAGCATGCTATAAGAAATCTTTTATAACAAAAATTGTTGCAAATTTTATTGTTAACAATATTACTCTTTTGCACTTTTGCTTTTAGATGCGTCAATATCGAGAAAAACACAAAAATATGAAAATTTGAAAAATTTGTTTATTTTTCAAGATATTAAGGGTAACGTTTTTGAATCGGAGTATGCTATAAGAAATCTTTTATAACAAAAATTGTTGCAAATTTTATTGTTAACAATATTACTCTCTTGCACTTTTGCTCTTAGATGCGTCAATATCGAGATAGATACGAAAATATGAAAATTTTATGAATTTGTTGCTCTTTCAAGTTATTAAAGGTAACACTTGAGAATCGGAGCTTGCTATAAGAAAACTTTTATAACAAAAATTGTTGCAAATTTTATTGTTAACAATATTGCTCTTTTGCACTTTTGCTGTTAGATACGTCAATATCGAGATTGATACGAAAATATGAAAATTTTATGAATTTGTTGCTCTTTCAAGTTATTAAAGGTAACACTTGGGATTCGGAGTATGCTAGAAGAAATCTTTTATAACAAAAATTGTTGCAAATTTTATTGTTAACAATATTGCTTTCTTCTGCTTCTGAAATTACACTTTAAAATACAAAATATAAATAATTAAACTGTAAAAAGACAAAAAACCACACAAGTTCCTACACAAACGATGTATAAAATAACACTAAAATGGATGACCTTTAAAACTTGTATAAAAAACTCATGCCAAGATAGAAACAGGTAAACTAAATGAAAATCCGGCGATTTCGAAAATAAAATAAAATATTTATTAGACATAAAATTTAAAAAATTTGTTTATTTTTCAATATATTAAAGGTAACGTTTGAGAATCGGAGTATGCTATCAGAAAATTTTTGTAACAAAAGTTGTAGCAAATTTTATTGTTAACAATATTTCTCTCTTGCACTTTTGCTCTTAGATACGCCAATATCGAGATAGATACGAAAATATGAAAATTTTATGAATTTGTTGCTCTTTCAAGTTATTAAAGGTAACACTTGGGATTCGGAGCATGCTATAAGAAAACTTTTCTAACAAAAATTGTTGCAAATTTTATTGTTAACAATATTGCTCTCTTGCACTTTTGCTTTTAGATGCGTCAATATCGAGAAAATTACAAAAATATGAAAATTTAAAAAATTTGTTTATTTTTCAAGATATTAAGGGTAACGTTTGAGAATCGGAGTATGCTATAAGAAAACTTTTATAACAAAAATTGTTGCAAATTTTATTGTTAACAATATTGTTCTCTTGCACTTTTACTCTTAGATGCGTCAATATCAAGATAGATATGAAAATTTGATGAATTTGTTGCTTTTTCAAGTTATTAAAGGTTACACTTGGGAATCGGAACTTGCTATAAGAAAACTTTTATAACAAAAATTGTTGCAAATTTTATTGTTAACAATATTGTTCTCTTGCACTTTTACTCTTAGATGCGTCAATATCAAGATAGATATGAAAATTTGATGAATTTGTTGCTTTTTCAAGTTATTAAAGGTTACACTTGGGAATCGGAACTTGCTATAAGAAAACTTTTATAACAAAAATTGTTGCAAATTTTATTGTTAACAATATTGCTCTCTTGCACTTTTGCTCTTAGATACGTCAATATCGAGGTAGATACGAAAATATGAAAATTTGATGAATTTGTTGCTCTTTCAAGTTATTAAAGGTAACACTTGGGAATCGGAGCTTGCTATAAGAAAACTTTTATAACAAAAATTGTTGCAAATTTTATTGTTAACAATATTGCTCTCTTGCACTTTTGCTCTTAGATACGTCAATATCGAGGTAGATACGAAAATATGAAAATTTGATGAATTTGTTGCTCTTTCAAGTTATTAAAGGTAACACTTGAGAATCGGAGCTTGCTATAAGAAAACTTTTATAACAAAAATTGTTGCAAATTTTATTGTTAACAATATTGCTCTCTTGCACTTTTACTCTTAGATGCGTCAATATCGAGATAGATACGAAAATATGAAAATGTTATGAATTTGTTGCTCTTTCAAGTTATTAAAGGTAACACTTGGGAATCGGAGCATGCTATAAGAAATTTTTTATAACAAAAATTGTTGCAAATTTTATTGTTAACAGTATTGCTCTCTTGCACTATTGCTCTTAGATACGTCAATATCGAGATAGATACGAAAATATGAAAATGTTATGAATTTGTTGCTCTTTCAAGTTATTAAAGGTAATACTTGGGAATCGAAGCTTGCTATAAGAAAACTTTTATAACAAAAATTGTTGCAAATTTTATTGTTAACAATATTGCTCTCTTGCACTTTTGCTTTTAGATGCGTCAATATCGGGAAAAATACAAAAATATGAAAATTTGAAAAATTTGTTTATTTTTCAAGATATTAAAGGTAACGTTTGAGAATCGGAGTATGCTATAAGAAATCTTTTGTAACAAAAATTGTTGCAAATTTTATTGTTAACAATATTGCTCTTTTGCACTTTTGCTCTTAGATACGTTAATATCGAGATAGATACGAAAATATGAAAATTTTATGAATTTGTTGCTCTTCCAAGATATTAAAGGTAACACTTGAGAATCGGAGCTTGCTATAAGAAAACTTTTCTAACAAAAATTGTTGCAAATTTTATTCTTAACAATATTGCTCTCTTGCACTTTTGCTCTTAGATACGTCAATATCGAGATAGATACGAAAATATGAAAATTTTATGAATTTGTTGCTCTTCCAAGATATTAAAGGTAACACTTGAGAATCGGAGCTTGCTATAAGAAAACTTTTCTAACAAAAATTGTTGCAAATTTTATTCTTAACAATATTGCTCTCTTGCACTTTTGCTTTTAGTTGCGTCAATATCGAGAAAATTACAAAAATATGAAAATTTAAAAAATTTGTTTATTTTTCAAGATATTAAAGGTAACGTTTTTGAATCGGAGTATGCTATAAGAAATCTTTTATAACAAAAATTGTTACAATATTATATTTTGAATCGTTTTCAAATTAGGCACTTATGACGCGTACGGTATATACCAACGATCTCGCAACGTTGCTCGAGCGACATTGCCATATCGTTGGTATATACTTTTATGCAATATAAGTGGGGTATAATTTTTGTCGCAATTGTATTGATTTTAAGTACGATGTGTTTCATAATACTTTGTCAAAATTCAATCAACCAACCTAAAAAGTTACAAAGGCTAAAATACAGCTTAGAGATGTGTATAGTCTTGTAATGATGCATCCAAAGAAAAACTAAGTGAAGCTGGCGAGGTTGCCAGATCAACATGTTGCAATTTAAGATATCATAAGTATTATTTTAGTATATTAATAGGAATAATTTCGATTTATTTGCCTTATTTTTTCAACTTCTCTTCATCTGTTGTTTTATTTTTTTTATTGCCTTTCGCGGCGACAATTATAACGGGTTCGTTTCCTTCGCAGCTTTAACATCGTCGTCGTCTCGTTCTTTTTTTCTTGGTGTCCAAACGAAAGACATGGTGGAGGAAACGGTCGTCTATTGCGATTGCGTTAACGTTTGCGCGTAGTGGTAGTGTGTAGTTTTTATGAATGAACGTAGGCCAGCGGTGCACGGAGAGTATGAATGAAAATCTCCGAGAATTCTCGTAGGTTACGCCCACCACCATTTCAGAACCTATCTCACTTTATTTTCCGTCTTTTTTCCACCGATGTATTTAGCGGTGTTTGCGTCTTTTTTTAGGTTACTTCTACTCGAAGAGACACCTGGCGATTGAACAGGTGGCCCGTACAGGTCAAACCAATAGAAAAAGAGTGAGACAGTAAGAAAGAGACGGAAAGAAAGAGACTGCTTCATTCATGCATCGAGCGTACGGCCCCGTGGTGTAGTAGTTGAGTTTACGCAACACTCCGCGGTTGTTCATTCATAAAAGTTTACTTAATTTTTTTTAAATATGTTTTCGCGAATCTTGTGCGTCTTGCTATTTGTAACTTTGGCGACTGCTTCAAGAGTTCCCGTCGAAGTTTATCAGCGCAAAACCGTTGAGCATAAACCTCTTCATCACCACAGAAAGAAAATTCCTGATATAAGGATTCTTTATCAAATCGGGGTAAGTTCGAAAAAAACACTTTACTTCCGGTTCTTTGAAACGGTGCCATAAAGAAAACACCAAAAGAATCGTAGACGTTCTTTTGTTGGCTACAAAGAAATTTACGGAGGAAATACGGGTTTAGACCGGAAACGGATCAATACAGAATCCGGCTTCCGGTTTGGACAGGTAAAACGGCTTCTTATTTACTCGATTTCTCGTTTTCGCAATACTTGAGACGAATTAAATCTTTTTTTTCGTTGTTTTCGAAGAGGAAGCCGTCGATTGCACAACAAAAGCCGCCCGATTTGTAAAAGCATAACGACCGGAGAACAAATCGGTCCACAATTCTCCCCGGAGAGGAAGTCGCTTATTAAACTCAATCTTTCTCTCTTAGAAGTCGAAATTTTTTCGACAAAATTTCAAAAAAAATTCTTTTACATACATTTCCTGTTATTATTGTGCGACTAAAATGTTAAATATTTCGATTTGTTAATCGATTTTTTAATGATTAACAAATTATTTCGCCGGATATTACAAATACTTAATTTGTTAATTCGATTATTTAGGATTCTGAAGAAGACTTGCCAACTTGTTCCTCAAGAGCGATTTGTAGCAAAGTTGATTTGTACGATCCCCCTTGGTTGGAACGTCAATGTAGATGTCCAAATGGACGTCAATGTTCGAATTCGTTGACTTCCGACGACGGTTACACGCTAACAGATCGTTTGAGACAATACAAGATGTGCGAACCTGTGAGGAAGCTCCCAAAGTGCAGGTAAATTTCTCCGGTTTCTTGTTGCGTGTGAGAAAAAACTTTTTTTATTAATCTTTTTACGTTCTAATATTTCAATCAACAGGTACTTCCACGACGTCACGTGGACGCTTATATTAACGCCAAAAAACGCCACCGAGCAAATCGTTTATTGCCATTGCCCGAAAAACTCGGTCACCTATTTAATTAAAAGACACGCATTCTATTCGATCGATGGGACAATTATTTACGAATATTCTTTCGCTTGTTCCCCGCAAAGCGTAAGTTGCACCAATCTCGATTTGAAATAATAACTTAATTAATAAATTTTAGAAAATGAAGTGTCAAAGAAAAGCTCCGTGTCGATTATTTACAGTTCGAAAGAAAGAAGAACTTCTTGATGAGGTGAATATAAATACGTTGTGCCAATGTCCTCATGGTCATCGATGTCCGCATCATCACACCGATTATGGGATAATACCGGGCAAATCATACTCGGAGTCCATAAGGACGTTTAGCGGTTATTGCTTACCTCATTGAGTTTAAATAAAAAGCCAAAAATACTTTTCGAAACTTTTACGAAAAGAGAAGCCGCGTACTTTTTAATGTACATTTGTTAACATGTACTTATTTCGCAATTTTTATTACCATATAAACCCGTAGGTGTATTACCCAGGATTGTAAATAGTATTTATTAGATTAGCGTTTAAGGAAGAGGACTATATTATTGCCACCGTTTTATTATAAAACTCTTTTCGGCTGAATTTATGGCTCAATTATTTTATTGTAATATATGTGATTATATTTTCTTGTTAATAAATATAGTTATTTTAGTAAATTAATGATTCGTTTTATTTCTGACATCTCAGAAACAAAAGATAAAATCATTTAATTCTATCTACACTTCATAGATGGCAGCGAATATGCAGCGAATTTGCAGGGAGTTTGCAGCGTTGCATAACATAAAGATCAAAATTAAAAAAAAAAAATTTAATCTTATCTTTTCATTAAATTAATTTTGAGGTTTAAGGTTAAAAGTGTACTTGAATGAGAATTACGACACAAAATTCACGTTAAAACTTTATCTATGTTTATTCTTTACGCGATAAATTATTATTAAAAAATCGTATCAAATTTTTTCTTGGGAAACAATCGACCATTTTCGCGTCTAATGTTTCGTTTATTGTTGTGAACATTTAACCTTCATTGTTGAGATCATGTTTCATTATATATAATATGAGAAGAACACTAAATGCTTAAACCTAAATGATAAATTAAAAATAAAAAAATTATAACTCAAACGTATCAATTAATAACGTTTTTTAGTGAAATTAGCTATTACAGTACTCAAACGGGTGCTGTAATGAGATTTTAGTAAAATTAAGACCACTCCATACCTTTCGTGGAACTTCTCTGGAAGTTGTGTTTTAATATAACTCTGAGCAATTTCTCTCATTTCGGGAGGTGCATTTTCAAGTGAATAAATTTTGAGTTTTGACAATTTTTAATTTTTAATTTTTTACTGCTACATACATAACTGCTACATAAAATTATCATATTTTCGTATCTATCTCGGTGTTGACGCATCTAAGAGCAAAAATGCAAGAGAGCAATATTGCTAACAATAAAATTTGCAACAATTTTTGTTATAAAGATTTTCTTATAGTAAGCTCCGATTCTCAAGTGTTACCTTTAATAACTGAAAAGAGCATAAAATTTTCATATTTTCGTATATATCTCGATATTGACGTATCTAAGAACAAAAGTGCAAGAGAGCAATACTGTTAACAATAAAATTTGCAACAATTTTTGTTATAAAAGTTTTCTTATAGCATACTCCGATTCTCAAACGTTACCTTTAATATCTTGAAAAATAAACAAATTTTTTAAATTTTCATATTTTTGTAATTTTCTCGATATTGACGCATCTTAAAGCAAAAGTGCAAGAGAGTAATATTGTTAACAATAAAATTTGCAACAATTTTTGTTACAAAAAATTTCTTATAGCATGCTCCGATTCCCAAGTGTTACCTTTAATAATTTGAAAGAACAACAAATTCATAAAATTTTCATATTTTCGTATCTATCTCGATATTGACGTATCTAAGAGCAAAAGTGCAAGAGAGCAATATTGTTAACAATAAAATTTGCAACAATTTTTGTTATAAAAGTTTTCTTATAGCAAGCTCCGATTCTCAAGTGTTACCTTTAATAACTTGAAAGAGCAACAAATTCATAAAATTTTCATATTTTCGTATCTATCTCGATATTGACGTATCTAAGAGCAAAAATGCAAGAGAGCAATATTGTAAACAATAAGATTTGCAACAATTCTTGTTATAAAAGTTTTCTTATAGCAAGCTCCAATTTTCAAGTGTTACCTTCAATAATTTGAAAGAGCAACAAATTCATAAAATTTTTATATTTTCGTATCTATCTAGATATTAACGCATCTAAGAGTAAAACTGCAAGAGAGCAATATTGTTAACAATAAAATTAGCAACAATTTTTGTTATAAAAGTTTTCTTATAGCATACTCCGATTCTCAAACGTTACCTTTAATATCTTGAAAAATAAACAAATTTTTTAAATTTTCATATTTTTGTAATTTTCTCGATATTGACGCATCTTAAAGCAAAAGTGCAAGAGAGTAATATTGTTAACAATAAAATTTGCAACAATTTTTGTTATAAAAGTTTTCTTATAGCAAGCTCCGATTCTCAAGTGTTACCTTTAATAACTTGAAAGAGCAACAAATTCATCAAATTTTCATATTTTCGTATCTACCTCGATATTGACGTATCTAAGAGCAAAAGTGCAAGAGAGCAATATTGTTAACAATAAAATTTGCAACAATTTTTGTTATAAAAGTTTTCTTATAGCAAGCTCCGATTCTCAAGTGTTACCTTTAATAACTTGAAAGAGCAACAAATTCATCAAATTTTCATATTTTCGTATCTACCTCGATATTGACGTATCTAAGAGCAAAAGTGCAAGAGAGCAATATTGTTAACAATAAAATTTGCAACAATTTTTGTTATAAAAGTTTTCTTATAGCAAGCTCCGATTCTCAAGTGTTACCTTTAATAACTTGAAAGAGCAACAAATTCATCAAATTTTCATATTTTCGTATCTACCTCGATATTGACGTATCTAAGAGCAAAAGTGCAAGAGAGCAATATTGTTAACAATAAAATTTGCAACAATTTTTGTTATAAAAGTTTTCTTATAGCAAGCTCCGATTCTCAAGTGTTACCTTTAATAACTTGAAAGAGCAACAAATTCATCAAATTTTCATATTTTCGTATCTACCTCGATATTGACGTATCTAAGAGCAAAAGTGCAAGAGAGCAATATTGTTAACAATAAAATTTGCAACAATTTTTGTTATAAAAGTTTTCTTATAGCAAGCTCCGATTCTCAAGTGTTACCTTTAATAACTTGAAAGAGCAACAAATTCATCAAATTTTCATATTTTCGTATCTACCTCGATATTGACGTATCTAAGAGCAAAAGTGCAAGAGAGCAATATTGTTAACAATAAAATTTGCAACAATTTTTGTTATAAAAGTTTTCTTATAGCAAGCTCCGATTCTCAAGTGTTACCTTTAATAACTTGAAAGAGCAACAAATTCATCAAATTTTCATATTTTCGTATCTACCTCGATATTGACGTATCTAAGAGCAAAAGTGCAAGAGAGCAATATTGTTAACAATAAAATTTGCAACAATTTTTGTTATAAAAGTTTTCTTATAGCAAGCTCCGATTCTCAAGTGTTACCTTTAATAACTTGAAAGAGCAACAAATTCATCAAATTTTCATATTTTCGTATCTACCTCGATATTGACGTATCTAAGAGCAAAAGTGCAAGAGAGCAATATTGTTAACAATAAAATTTGCAACAATTTTTGTTATAAAAGTTTTCTTATAGCAAGCTCCGATTCTCAAGTGTTACCTTTAATAACTTGAAAGAGCAACAAATTCATCAAATTTTCATATTTTCGTATCTACCTCGATATTGACGTATCTAAGAGCAAAAGTGCAAGAGAGCAATATTGTTAACAATAAAATTTGCAACAATTTTTGTTATAAAAGTTTTCTTATAGCAAGCTCCGATTCTCAAGTGTTACCTTTAATAACTTGAAAGAGCAACAAATTCATCAAATTTTCATATTTTCGTATCTACCTCGATATTGACGTATCTAAGAGCAAAAGTGCAAGAGAGCAATATTGTTAACAATAAAATTTGCAACAATTTTTGTTATAAAAGTTTTCTTATAGCAAGCTCCGATTCTCAAGTGTTACCTTTAATAACTTGAAAGAGCAACAAATTCATCAAATTTTCATATTTTCGTATCTACCTCGATATTGACGTATCTAAGAGCAAAAGTGCAAGAGAGCAATATTGTTAACAATAAAATTTGCAACAATTTTTGTTATAAAAGTTTTCTTATAGCAAGCTCCGATTCTCAAGTGTTACCTTTAATAACTTGAAAGAGCAACAAATTCATCAAATTTTCATATTTTCGTATCTACCTCGATATTGACGTATCTAAGAGCAAAAGTGCAAGAGAGCAATATTGTTAACAATAAAATTTGCAACAATTTTTGTTATAAAAGTTTTCTTATAGCAAGCTCCGATTCTCAAGTGTTACCTTTAATAACTTGAAAGAGCAACAAATTCATCAAATTTTCATATTTTCGTATCTACCTCGATATTGACGTATCTAAGAGCAAAAGTGCAAGAGAGCAATATTGTTAACAATAAAATTTGCAACAATTTTTGTTATAAAAGTTTTCTTATAGCAAGCTCCGATTCTCAAGTGTTACCTTTAATAACTTGAAAGAGCAACAAATTCATCAAATTTTCATATTTTCGTATCTACCTCGATATTGACGTATCTAAGAGCAAAAGTGCAAGAGAGCAATATTGTTAACAATAAAATTTGCAACAATTTTTGTTATAAAAGTTTTCTTATAGCAAGCTCCGATTCTCAAGTGTTACCTTTAATAACTTGAAAGAGCAACAAATTCATCAAATTTTCATATTTTCGTATCTACCTCGATATTGACGTATCTAAGAGCAAAAGTGCAAGAGAGCAATATTGTTAACAATAAAATTTGCAACAATTTTTGTTATAAAAGTTTTCTTATAGCAAGCTCCGATTCTCAAGTGTTACCTTTAATAACTTGAAAGAGCAACAAATTCATCAAATTTTCATATTTTCGTATCTACCTCGATATTGACGTATCTAAGAGCAAAAGTGCAAGAGAGCAATATTGTTAACAATAAAATTTGCAACAATTTTTGTTATAAAAGTTTTCTTATAGCAAGCTCCGATTCTCAAGTGTTACCTTTAATAACTTGAAAGAGCAACAAATTCATCAAATTTTCATATTTTCGTATCTACCTCGATATTGACGTATCTAAGAGCAAAAGTGCAAGAGAGCAATATTGTTAACAATAAAATTTGCAACAATTTTTGTTATAAAAGTTTTCTTATAGCAAGCTCCGATTCTCAAGTGTTACCTTTAATAACTTGAAAGAGCAACAAATTCATCAAATTTTCATATTTTCGTATCTACCTCGATATTGACGTATCTAAGAGCAAAAGTGCAAGAGAGCAATATTGTTAACAATAAAATTTGCAACAATTTTTGTTATAAAAGTTTTCTTATAGCAAGCTCCGATTCTCAAGTGTTACCTTTAATAACTTGAAAGAGCAACAAATTCATCAAATTTTCATATTTTCGTATCTACCTCGATATTGACGTATCTAAGAGCAAAAGTGCAAGAGA